CCCCCGCCCCCCCCACCCCGGCGGTGGCAGGGTGCCCCTGCGCCCCAGGGCACGCACTGGCAGCTGCAGCAGCTCCCATGGGAGCAGCTGCTTCTCCTTCCCCCTCTGCCCCCTCCCCGGCCCTGGTGCTAACGCAGGTCAGGCTGTGCAGCCTCTCGGGAAGGAGAAGGTGCCTTCCCAGGAGGATCTGCAGCCAACCCTGCATCCCACCCCCGGCACCGGGCACGGCAGCCCCATCACCCCCCAGCGAGCCCTGCCCCGAGGGCCAGGTTCCTCCCCAGTTAGGCGAGGTGCAAAGCTCGGCGCAGCCCAGCCCTGGCATGTCTCACCAAGGCACCAGTGCTGCCCCAGACCTCTGCGGCTTCATGGGATAGATGCCAGCCCTGGCGGGCTGGCAGGGGTGAGCGCACGTGGGGCAGGGCATTTCAGAGCCAGGCTTGCTTGCATCAGCTCAGCCAGGGACGCCTGCGGTGTCGGGGATGGCTGGAGTGTAGGGCAGAGGTTCAGGGGGCCACAGAGCATCAGCCGGGGTCCTGTGGTCCATGCATGGCTGCTTGGCTGCTGCTGCCACTGCACAAGCACACTGCACGAGCACATCTGCTGTAGAATCATAGAATTCTATGGTTCTATGGCAGATGTGCTCATGCAGTGGCAGATCTGGCCATCAGGCCATGTCCTGAACAAGTCGGTTGGCCTGTTAGCAGATGACTCCAGTTACAGTGATTTCAGGAGCATCCATGGGGCAAAGGGGAAATCACCAATTTAACTGGGCAGTTTGGAGTGACTGTAGAAAACCAGTGCAAATAAAAGCCCTGCAGACTGCTCTGGGGAGGGCAGGCTGCAGGGCTGGGCAGGCTGTGAGCCCACAGAGTACTGGGGATTCCGAGGCAGCAGCAGGGCAGTGCAGACTTCTGCGATGCCCGGCATAAAGGGAGATGCCAGAGGGCAGAGAAACGTGGGTCAGAGGCACAGCAAAGCTGGCAAGGACCAGATGGGGAGAAGTGGGCCCTCCAGCTGGGTGCAAGAGGAGACAACATCAGGGCAGCAGAAGCAGGGAGGGGCTCAGGAATGACCTTTGGGGAGGTTTCTCCAATCCCACAGCCCAAAGACACTGCACCCTGGGACATTGCCACCAAGTACCAGTTACATGCTGAGCTGCCTGCACTTTGTCCTGCCCCAGAAATGTGGCAGGTTATTGCCCCCACTTGGCTGCCTTCCTGGGCACTCCTGCCCAACCGAATGGGGTTTTACAGTGGATGGGTGCCTCCACGCACCATGCACAACAGACTGCTACTGCTGCTGCGGAGGGACTGACAGCGCTGCAGGGGGGTCGCTGCCTTTCTGGCCAAGCCCCGCTTCTCCAGGTGAGGGCAGAGGTGCTCTGCAGGGGGGCTCTGCCTGGCGGCAGCTCTTTTTGACCAAAAGCATCTGGGACGGTGTTGCAGGCTGCCCTGGGCTCACCCCAGAGGCAGGGGCATCCCTGGGCTGCACAGGGCAGCCCCAGCAGGAGCTGGAGAAGTCCCCCAGCAGACTCATGGGGAGATGCTTTGACCTCTTAAAGCACCCTTCCCCTGTGGTCCTCACTGTGGGGTTAAAGTGGTGGTGTCCAGGTGGGCAATACAAGACCTAGAATCCCACCAGCACCCATGTTTGCTGTCCTAGAGAGCACTGCCCCCGTGCACTGGCACGCTTGTCCCTCCCCAGCCCCCGTGCTCCTGACCTCCATCCAGGAGAAGTGAGCAGTGCCCAGGTGCCTGGGGAAGGGACATATGTGTCTGTAGCAGGGACCCACCTCCTCCGTTGCGGTAACACAGGTAGGGAAATCGCCAGATGTTTGCCAGCCCAACGCAGTAGCCCAGGCAGGACAGCAGGAACTCGTACTTGCCGGCCCAGGTCTCCCGGGGTGGGTTGGGGGCCAGGATCTCAGGCTGGTGTGGGGGTCCCGGCCAGGGCTGGCTGGTGGGGTTGGTGGTCGGACCCTCCATCTGGAAGATGTTGACCTGTGGAGGGGAGCAAAGCATCAGGACCCACTGGCTGCAGCCTGCAAAACCCGCAAGGCTCCTCAGCAGGGCTGGGCACGGCCAAGCTCTTGCTGAAAAAGCATCTGGTTCCCAAAGGGGCTTTGGGGCTTTCCCTGAAACCCGCCCAGTGGGAGCCCGTGGTGGCCCATGCTGTGGGACGTGGGAGGTTCAGGCTGGACCAGAGCCCTGTGCTCCTCCCCAGGCTGCAGGAACTAGGCGCAGGTCCGGGCAGACCCCAGCCCAAATGCCCCGGGCAGGTTTGATCCAGCAGATCCTCCCATAGAGGGAAAGTCAGCAGCTGGCATTCACCCACTCCCCATGATGGGTTTTCATCTCTGCTCTGTCTTATGCACCCAGGACTATCTAAACACGGGGACCACCAGGATCGGCACCCCGGCACCCAGTCTTGCGCTGAGCAGATGAGGGTAGGTGCAGGGGTGCTTGCCACCGGTCACCCCCCGGCCTCGCTCAATGCACTACTTGTCCAAGCCCTCCTGCCCGGCGCCTCCGAAGCCAGTGGGGCCATCTCTGGCTCCCATCTTTGCCGGGGTCCTGCCCACATACCTGGCCAGGGGACCCACGAACAAGGGCTGGAGTTGTCAGCTCACTCTGCGCCAAGGCAAAGCAGTGCTGGACGCAGGGAGGAGAGACCCAGCGCTGTGCACACCATGCAGACCATCGGGGTGGGGGTACCGGGGGGCCAGTGGGGGGGGGTCGCTCCTCTCACTAGCCCCGGACCCCCGCACACTGGCCCTGCCGGCACCTCTGCTGAAGGGATAATGCACGCGGTGGGGAGAGGGAACAGGGATATTGTGCCTCATTCGTTATCGTGAGTTACTGTCCCGACTACTCCTGTAGCCGGCCAGCGGCTTGGCGGGGCCCGGGGGCCGTAACGCTGCTCTGCTCCCAGGGCAGGGCTGGCACTGCCACAGGGAGCTGCAAGGTCATGGCAGGGTTTGAGGCTGTGGTCCCTTCCACCAGCACCAGCCCCCTTGGGCACAGGTCCTGCCACCCTGGAAAGGATGGAGGGATCCCCCAAATCAGCCCGCAGAAGCTGCTCCAGCCACGCGGTCCTTCCCTGGAGGTCCCCTCTGCCACCTGGGCTGCAGCTTCCCCCCGGTCCTGCCAGGACAGATCCCGACCCACGCTCCCCAGCAAGGTCAGACTGCCAGGAGAGAAGAGGATTAGCCGGGGGGGTCTAGCAGTGTGATGGTACTTGGGGATGTTGTTGCGTGGGGAATTTCTTTTAGTATCAGTGTCACCACAGATGCAAATGGTTGTTCTCAGCTCAACTGTGCATAGCCCACAGGGGATGGTGCACGGGGCCTCAGGAGCATGTGGCTCTCATCCCAGCCCTGCCTCTGGCAAACCCAGCACTGCTGTGACTCAGTTTCCCCCATCTGTGGGACCCCGTGGGGGAAGCACCACTCAAGGCAGAGGAGTGTCACTCAGTGACGAAGCAGCATTATGATTCCCAGACCACAAAGCTGAGAAGATCAGACCTGGTCTCATGTGCAACGCAAGCCAAAGGCTGGTCTGCCCAGGCGTTTGCTCCCACAGGAGCGTGAGGGTTTATTTTGGAAAAGGATCCAGTTTTGAATTAAATAAAAAAAACCCTCCGTGATGCAAATGTCCCTGCTCAGGCTTGGGGGGGGGGGATTCCAGTGTTTACTTGTCCTGCATAGCATCCTTTTCCTCTACTCACACCACCCCTTCCTAAGCAACAGGATGGGTCATCAGGAAAGCAATCTGCAAACCCCAGCCATGTGGAAAATGCTCCTCCATCTCCGTGGTCTCCAGAGGTTGCAGAAACCCTGAAATCCAGCACATTGACCAGCCCCAATCCCTTTCTCCCAGGGCTGTGGGCAAGAGACGTGCCCTGTGGCAGGCAGGAGCACTGGCCAGGCTTGACAGAGCATGCACCGCTGAGGACGGCTCTCCCGGGGCAATGCCACGGGGTCCCCGAGACATGGGCATTTTGGGGCTGTTCAGAGGCAACAGTTTCTTGGCCACATGCAACCCTGGGACACTGAGATGTCTGCTTTTGTGCAAAGTCCACGGGCGCAGCACAGCTTCCTCCAGGCACCTGATCCAAGGGGATCACAGTGCAGGAGTGCCAGCATCCTTGTGAGCTTGTTTACTCCAGAAACCAGGGCCAGC